GGATGCGCCATGCATTCGACTTCATTAACCTTGAAGGTGATTAAATGCATACCTGGCTTTTACAACGATTCATGGTGGCCTACTGATGTATGGAGTCAATGCTGCTATCTTCCCAGACAAGTCTGATACCAATTTTCCGACCATGGAAGGACGGAAGGCTTGTTGAAACACGGGCGCAGGGACAGATCCCATGTGTGCAGTGCAAGACGCCTCGGACCGCTACGCCACACGTGCCACCATTGACAGATGCTAAGAATGAAAGAAGTAATGACTTTATTTTTGTGTTTCAAATTTGCACAATTTACTCAGCTTGGATTACAGTGAATCTGACCAGAGAGTTTTAACATCGGAAAATATCGAGAATATAGGACCACTACCACATCAAGCCATGACATAAAGTTGGTAGCGGAAAAGTTCCATACCAATTTTTTTCGTTCCATAAATCCCGCCCGAGCTCATAGCTCCACACTGAAGAAAAACTGCCCAGGATTGGTCCCTCTGAAGTTCGAGCTGCGACAGAAAGCACGAAGAAAGACACAGCTTCAGGACTCGGTAATAGTATATCCAAATACTTCCAAGCTGGAGGTCATGAACTACATGGAGTTGTCGCAACCTATCTAACATTTTACCTAGGAAAGGAAAAATCCTAAATTAGTGGTGGATGCTTCATACGGTCACGCTGTGCAAGAAGGGTGACCAAAGAGACTCTGGTTTAGCGCACCTTCAATGAACATTATTCTATTGAGAATATAAAGGACTTTCTAAGGACCTCGAGCAATTGTGGAAGCGCTATTCCACTGTATAGATACAAACCTTACCGCTGGCCACGGAAGTCTTTTAAGTACCACGTGTCCATTGTCCTAATCTCTCAACTCCAACCCATCCACACAACGGAACGGGTCCGATATGAACACACTCTCTCGTCAAGTATGTTTACCGCCGGATTGCAGTGTGTTATGAGGTCACTCGACTGGGACGAGAAAGGCATACGCACATTGCATAAAATTCCTGTCAAATCTTCATGCCGACTACATTGTCATTTTCTCAAGAATTACCATCGAAGCAGAGACGACAGCAAATGAGCTCAACGAAAGGGGACAATAAATTCGATAGCACATAGGTAAACCAGGATTCAATTCATGAAGAACCACATGGTGTGAAGGTGCAAATTGAACTAGGTGGTTCTCTAAGTACTAAGTTCATCTCGTATCCTGGACTTTCAACGAACATGAAGAACAATATGAAGAGGGAATTCGACTGAAAAAAACAGGGCAGCATGGTCCACATTCGGGCGTCTCAAGTCGAATCCGCCGATCAGCTAACGGACCTGAAACTCTATGTTTGCCTCTTCAATTCAACGGTCCCCTCAGCGCTCTGTTATGCATCGGGGGTTTAAATTGATATTTCGCGTACGTGGAATACTCTGCGCACCACCCACAGAGAGCTTGAGCGATCTCTTCTGAAATTTGACCAATACTCAAAACAACTAGCTGGAACGGGCTGTGCAGATCTACGGAGCTTGTTCCATCTTCAAGAGCCAGTAGAATATATCTCTGTAGAATGACAGAAATGGGGCGATCATCACTTGCATCCCCTACCGTCCCGTTGATCGTTAAGTGACTCAAGGGTGTTTCGGTAAAGTTTCTACTTATCCATTTCGCGCGCACGTGTCCCCCACTGTACCATATCGTTCTTCCAGTGTCTTCGTAAAGGACTCTAGCCATCGTTTCTGTGGTCTTCCTGCTGTGCATTTGACATCCCGAGGAATCCAGTCGCTAACGGTTCCTGTCCATCGTGTGTTCTCCAGACGTAACACATATCCAACGCACCTGACTCTTCTATGCCGATTTGCGCTCCCCAGATCAACCCCGCTGAGGGGTGATTGCTGTGGCAAAAAGATCGATAGAAATAGCTGAGAGACAGGCGAAACAAAGGACCCGCATGGTGTGGTGGTGAACGTGTTTCTCCCCGGAAAGGATAATAGCGCGTTCGTTCCCCACCATAGACACCTGCGGTCCAGAGTTTTGCAAATATCTCAGCAACGTTGTGGATGTATCTGTGGAAATTTGCGCGAAATATTGGGGGTTGGCAATGGGACAGCGATTGGCACCAAGCCTTGCCATTGTGTATATGTCTAAGATAGAAGCCTCTGTTCTCGATCTCCGGCCACTACTCTACTGCAGATATGTAGATGATTGTTTTGTCGTCTTCTCTACGCAGGAGGAGATGGACAAATGCTTTGAATTATTGAACGAGCAGTCCGAGTACATAAAGTTCACCCGGGAGGAACCGAGAAAAAACTGGCTTTCGTTTTTGGACGTTCAAATAAACCTATCAAGTAGCGGTTACCGGACAAAGTGATATCGAAAGCCAAGTAGTAACAAGAACATCCTTGTTCATTTCCTTTCTTCCCACCCTTCACACACAAAGAGGGCGATTGTGAGAAACATGTTTCGAACAGCCACCTCTGTGTGCACTACCAGGGAACTAAAGGAAGAATCGCGCGACTTGGCCCGGCAAATAGCCACCTCCAATGGCTACGAAATAGTAACCCCACGAGATAAGTTTACAAGGAGAACGACGCGCCCACGTGAAACACTTGGCCAAAACAAAATCCCGTTTATATTGCCTTTTATAAGCGATGAAGTAAGTGTAGCTATAAAACGATGCTTAAGAAGGGCAGGTCTAGAGGAATCGGTAGCGATATTTGAAATACCAGCGGCTATTCTACATCGTCAATTAGTTCGTAACCGCCTGTATGACCGTCTGTGTGAAACAACAAATTGCGTAATTTGCCCTTACGGCAGGGACGGTGATTGATTGATTGATTGCATGAGTTCAGGTACGATATANGAGGTTGGTACAGGTCTTCGTTGTCGTTGTCGTTGTTTTTGATGTTGTTGGTCGATGGCTGACGTTTCGGCGACTTCGCTTTCCTCAGAGCCGTGATGTTACGTGTGGGACTGCTCTGAGGTAGGCGAAGTCGCCGAAACGTCAGCCATCGACCAACAACATCAAAAACAACGACAACGACAACGAAGACCTGTACCAACCTCGCGTCAGCTTAAGAAGATCAGTTTATAAGACTACATAAATTGATATATCAAGTAGAGGTTACGTGACAAATTGGTACCCAAAACCAAGTAACAAGAACATCCTGTTTAATTTCCTCCCTTCTTACCCTTCACACACAAAGAGGGCGATTGTGAGAAACATGTTTCGAACAGCCACCTCTGTGTGCACAACCAGGGAACTAAGGGAAGAATCGCGCGACTTGACTTGGCAACAAATAGCCATCTCCAATGGCTACGAAATAGTAACCCCACGAGATAAGTTTAAAAGGAGAGCGACGCGCCCACACGAAACACTTGGCCAAAAGAAAGTCCCGTTTATGTTGCGTTTTATAAGCGATGAAGTAAGCGTAGCTATAAAACGATGCTTAAGAAGGGCAGGTCTAGAGGAATCGGTAGCGATAGTTGAAATTCCACCGGCTACTCTACATCGTCAATTAGTTCGAAACCGCCTGTATGACCGTCTGTGTGAAACAACAAATTGCGTAATTTGCCCTTACGGCAGGGACGGTGATTGATTGATTGATTGCATGAGTTCAGGTACGATATACCTGATCTCTTGTAACAATTGCGGAGATGAATATATTGGAGAAACGGGCAGACCTTTGTGTATCCGTATAAAAGAACACCTAGATAGCAAACGAAAACTAAGACAAAGTACCCTACTAGGCACGCATAGGATACAAAAGCATAGCGGAGACGATTTTGAAGGAAAAGTCAATATCCTTGCACAGGAGACTAAAACACCAGCGCGCAAGCTTTCTAAGGTTTCTTGGATAAATGCCAAAACCCTACAATGAACAGCAAGGATGAATGCCCCGAGATCACACTTGATCTAGTCCCGTAGCTTCTTATCGATCGTTGATGTAGGGAGATGCAGTCGTCAATCATATGCGACTCTGATCAGCGGCTCTCAGTTAAAGGCACGTGGAAACGGTGGGTTTTTTGAGAAGCTGTTGGCCATGTGACTGCCATTTAGATTCTCATTTTTCTGTATGTGTTATTGAANCAGCGGCTATTCTACATCGTCAATTAGTTCGTAACCGCCTGTATGACCGTCTGTGTGAAACAACAAATTGCGTAATTTGCCCTTACGGCAGGGACGGNNNGATTGATTGATTGATTGCATGAGTTCAGGTACGATATACCTGATCTCTTGTAACAATTGCGGAGATGAATATATTGGAGAAACGGGCAGACCTTTGTGTATCCGTATAAAAGAACACCTAGATAGCAAACGAAAACTAAGACAAAGTACCCTACTAGGCACGCATAGGATACAAAAGCATAGCGGAGACGATTTTGAAGGAAAAGTCAATATCCTTGCACAGGAGACTAAAACACCAGCGCGCAAGCTTTCTAAGGTTTCTTGGATAAATGCCAAAACCCTACAATGAACAGCAAGGATGAATGCCCCGAGATCACACTTGATCTAGTCCCGTAGCTTCTTATCGATCGTTGATGTAGGGAGATGCAGTCGTCAATCATATGCGACTCTGATCAGCGGCTCTCAGTTAAAGGCACGTGGAAACGGTGGGTTTTTTGAGAAGCTGTTGGCCATGTGACTGCCATTTAGATTCTCATTTTTCTGTATGTGTTATTGAAGCACTTGACCTAGTGAGTTGCGTATTAGTGTACCCTTCCAGGCACTGAAGAAGGCGATTCGGCCGAAACGTCAGCTACCGTTGTGTTGTATGTGTTATATTTGCGAGGTAGTAAACTTGTGCTGAATAACAACTTCGCGATTGCTGAGAGAAGAAACGATGAATTTATAATCCAATGCCGAGGTTAACAGAAAGTCGGTCCTGGAAAATGAAAACATTTACGTGCTGTTTTTTCTGCTTAAACTGAATAAAAATTAGGAAATTTCCGTGAAGAATTGATCCATGATTGAAAGAAAGTTCAACCGATTGGAAAATGTGTCATATTATGAGCACCATTTCAGGTGAAAAATGTGTGCCAGGATACTTTATAGCTCCACTCTTCATGACGGTGTTCATGCTGATTTCCAATGTTTTGCTGATGAATACAATGGTAGCATGTGGCACTTACGTATTCGAGCACAATGTAGAGAACACTCAGGAAATTTGGCTTTTCGAACGATACAGTCAGGTAGGCGGTTGTGTTTGATATTGGGGTTTTGAATTGTGAGCTGGAAATCCAGCTTTTCATGCGCATCATGTACGGCGAACATTGTTTGTGATATAAACATCCGTACCGTTTTGATTCTTACTGTTTTCTTTGAGTAGAAGTACAGGTTCTTTCATTCTATGAAGTTGATTCGCGGTTTTCTGGAGTTCACAACGGGTTCGTTCCACTTATTTTGCACTAAAGCTCATATTTCGGGCCCGAAAGCGGTTGAGGAAGCGGAATTTCGCCCATCAGAACGCTATAGTGTTCTCCAATCTATGTTGACGTTCGCAGCACTTGGAGGATTTGAAACTTAAATTTCACCTTCTATTTTTTGACGCGTTCAATTCTTAACAAATTTCAGAGCCAACGGGTATTCCATAAAGAGTGTACGTACCCTTAAAGTGGCAGAACAAATCCACGGTTGTAATGTGTAATGTTCTCGACTCTACTACTCGGCAAGCGAAAAGTTGTTGAAAAACCAGCTTTGCTGCGAATGCAGTTAATAGGAGAAGCATAGCGGATTGGAATTGGTAATGTGAAAATCAAACAGAGAGGGGATTCGAATGGCAATGTTGCGACGCTGTTTCAAATTCCACAAATCACCTATTCTGTTTTGATTTAGCGCTTTCGTTAACGCTATTTAGCATGAATATTTTTGAGAGATCTTCACTGATGAGACTTGTCTACAACTTTTATAATCAAATAGTTCATTCTTCGCAAGAGTGAAGGTTGGTACATTTTAGGTAATGGAATATGATAGTACGCCATTCATTCCACCTCCATTCACGATATTCTACCATGCATTCTGGTTTTTTCGTTGGATGCGAGTGCGAAAGTTTTCCAGAAACAATCTTCTTGATGCCTCATTAAGTGATTGATATTTAAAATTTATTTTGCCGTCCAAAAAAACCTACAAGGTAAATATTCCGTCATGAAGTCAATATTTATCAATAATTGATTTTGTAAGGGAAGTTGGGGATTCTGACAAAGAAGTCTAAAACAGATGGGAAATACTGAATTATGAAGGGAGGCATCACTACTGCTTTCCTCACTGTCAGTAACGTCAAGATGATACGTGTGTGCTTGTTCGGACAAAATTCTTGCCGCGCTGTTAGAAAAGCTGGACCGAATAGTGTTGATCTCAGCTAGATGTCACACCAACATAGAACTAATTTTTGAAAGTCTTTTGTTTAAAATGACTTTTAGAGCTCTTTTTGAGTGAGGAGCAAATTGAGAAGATTCATTCATTCGAAGAAGAGTGTGTAGAAGATATGGAAAGGGAGAAGGACATACTGAAGCAGAGTTCAAATGATGAGCGAATCCATCACGTAGCCGAGCGTTCAGATCAAATCTTGAATAGGTTTGTATAGACCACTTCTAAGAGTAGAAATTACAGGTAGTGCTGCTAGCACTGAAAACTTTCTAAAACCGTTTTCTTAAAAGTTCTACTATCAAAAAACCTGTTTACTATGGCCACGCCTTGAGATGTTCTGCTTTCCTTTATAATGTTAAGAAAATAATCAGAGGACAAGGCTTCTAACGTATGAGAAGTGCCGCTACAAAAGATCGCTCACTTGTTCAACGATCTTACTTGGTTACTTAGATAGTTCATCTGTACGAGTTGAGCGGATCCCAGCACATTTTTCATTCTTTCCTGGCCTCCCAACCGTCGTCCATGGTGGTCGTCCAGGACAACGGATTAACTTTGGTCGCAAACCGCGTGCAGGTGGCCAGCCTAGGGGATACCCGTGGGGACATTCTTCATTCTAAATCTCTGCTCAAAAAAATCCCTTTCATATCAGAGATCTCGAGCCGGTTAGTCGCGAGGCTACGTGGCGCGTCCCCAGGTGGCGGATAGGTGGTTAATCACGGACCAAAAGCGCCCTTTGCTTCCCTGAGACGCAGGTGGATCCAAGGGGTGGACTCCCTGCTTCTGCTGCGCCGATTTGGCACACACTTTCTGTATTTGCTAGGCGTATTCATGCATGCTTGTGTCGATGCGTTCTTGCTTATGCGGACTGTATTCTACAAGGCAACTAGGCCAAAAGCCTACAATCAAGTGACTGAGAAGTATATGGGAAGCGGTTAGGAGTCGCCATCAACAAATAAGCTCCATGTCCACTCTGGGAGAGCCTGGCAAGCTGCCCGTGAATATACCCAGCCCCACGTCCAGAACCCAGCAACGTATACGTGGGTATCAAAAAAGCTAAACACAGTAGAAAAAACGGGCATCATTCGCTTGACCCCAAGAGGGCCCCAATTCGGCAGCGTTGGGTGGGACGACTGCGGAGGGGTTGCTAAAACCTCAAGGTCAAAGGAAGCTGCCTGGATTCTAGAGAACTATGGTGACGATGTGTACCTACAATGCACGTACACCTGGATCCGAGTCCTCGATAGAAGACTTGCTCCTGCAAGCAAGAAGGATAAGGTAGGATGTTATCGGCCTAAACGAGACGAGAAGACGCCAGCCTTTCAACGCCGTCTATGACACCGGAGAAGAACTGTTCCTCGGAACATGCGACAGTAGAGGGGCTGACGGCGTCGGCATTCTCGTCAACACGAGTTTGTCCATGAACATCGATTCATTCGAAGAACAAACAAACCTAATCGAATGCTTGCCATTAAAAAGATGTGGTTGAATATCGGCCTTAACAATCTTCGTCGTTTACGCGCCGACATCAAACTATGGCAGAGAAGAAGCAGAAGCGTTCTACATGGACTTGGAGAAGTTCTACAGAGAAGACCATAAGATCATCATTGGAGATTTCAACGCCGAGATTAAACCAAGAAGAATATCTGAAGAACGTCACATTGGGACCCACGGATTAGAATGGAACGAATAGGGTGAGCTGCTATCTGAGTTTATCATAACGACCAAGACAATCCCTGGTAACTCGCAATTCCAGAAGTCCCACCCTCAGCGCTGAATGTGGGAGTCCCCCAATGGAGAGTACCAAAACGAAAT